ATTTTAATACATCGAACGTGAGTTATTGAAAATGAGTTATACACCAACAATCGAGTAAAGAAGCCCTTCATTTGGTCGTTTTTAAAGGCTATATATAAGGCCAATACATCGCTCGCAGTTTCGCCTGGAATTGTCGCTTTCGTTCACTCCTGAATTAAAACTTTAAAATTAACAGGTGTGTCTCAAAATCAAGCACTTTGCGGTAGCTTCAATAGTTTTCTCCAAAGTTCTAGATTACAGACCATGCGTGCTACATTGTGTGAAAGTTGGTGTTTTTTTGTGAATGTTAAATGACTGGATTTTTCTTCCAAGAATAAACACATAAAAATGGTCAAATGTCCAGTAATTGGAGACCTTATAAGGAGTCTTATAATTTTTAGTATTTTGTACTGTGGTTCAGGATTCCTAATCAGACGACATACATTTGACAGTAACTAAGGAACTTAACGAGCAACGACGACTGCGACGTCAACGACAACGGCAAAAAACCAATAGGTTTAGATTTGCAATGCAGCAACTTTGCAAGTGCATCACACTTTTTTCACATTTCTTTGCCGTAAATGCACAACTACGACGTGAAGATGCCTAATCTCGCGTGAACACAAGACAACGACTTTCTTTGTCTTTTCCTTAACTTCGATACAGCTTCGAATTCAACTCAAATTTGCCAACATTTAACGAAGTTTGAAGCACTGCGGGTTCACTTTTTAAATGACGTTTTCGTCGCTGTCGCCGTAGTTGTTGCCGGGTAAGCTCCCTAGTAAGCGCCTGACTAACAACGGGTTGCTACACACATATAGTTTCCCCAAAGCACAGACTGAGAATAAAATGACACTGATTTGTACGTAAGGAGAAGAGAGAGGGAGTGCGCTTTCCTCGACGCAGCCATTGTTTTTTTGGTTTGTTTGTTTGTTTTTTACATATTACGGCTTGTTACTTGTTGCTGTTATTTTTTCCCATGGACAAGACCCTAAGGTAGCAGGTGCCTTTCCGAGAATCTACGTAGACCTTGTCACGGTTTTCGACGCCATCTTGACGAGTAGGCAAACGCGTGAGAAATTACAGTGTTTGTATGAGAATCTAATGTCGAATAATTTCCGTAGAACGGCAGTATGTGCAGGCCGAAAAGGTTGGGTCAAGATGGCGTCGAAAACCGTGACAAGGTCTATTGACCTATCATTTTGGTACCCAAAACGACATTTGTTATCTGCCAAAATCAAGCGGGCAGTTGTCAATTTTCTGACGTTACGAATAACTAAGAGGGCATTTTGCTGAAAGAAACCACTAATTGGTTGTCTAATTTACCATGTTTGTTTACGTAAACAAAGATCGTTTTAACAGATACTGCATGCAACAAAGCAGGGGCACCCAACGTCAATTTTCGGAAAATATCTGAAAATATCTTTCGGAAGACGATTTGAGATCTAGAAGTTTCGGAACATTTGTTGTAAAATTTCTTGCTTGCCTGCCCCTTCTAGAATTTTCGAACATCTAAAATGGTATAATTGCCCATTTTCAACAGATTTTTACCCTAAAAAGGTCACCTACAATTTTCGGAAGCCTTTTTTCTGGCTGAAATTTTCGAAAAGGTAAGTTTTGATCCCTATAATTTTCGGATCAGTAGACTTTCAGCTAGGAAATCCGAATAGATGAAAAATTTTGAGGGGATAAAAGTATGTCTATATCTACCGTTTAAATACTAAAATGCGTTTGGCAATGCTATGTTTAAGTAGTTTTGAACTATATTCTCGTTGGATGCCCCTGAACAAAGCTATTCGTAAGATACTTCAAAAGAAAAGCTCAAAGCCAACCCATACTTTCACAACATGAGTGACATCAGTTGCATTACTTTGTCGATTTGAAATGAATATACAGAGACATCCCTTTGAAAAAAGTGTGAGTTTCGGATTCGTTGCGTAGAAAAACAATTTGAAGGTGAAAAGAATGAAAATAATTGGAAAACAATTAGTTGATTCAAGACATGACCCGTTCAAACTGAGTCACGATGGTTTCACGTGCACAGCGATCTCCTGATCAGCTAGCGACCAGTCTCTCATGTAAGGATTTCGTGCCGGATTTCACTTATTTCCAAGAAAGCTCCCCATATGGGGCCATAGTCCACGTTCGATATATCGAAATTCTATCATAATCCGAGGCTTTAGGGTCAAAATTGCAAATTTTTCAAGACTCCATTGTCTTACAATTCCCAAAAGAGACTTGAACACAAAGAAAACCAACCAGAAAGCCTCGGAGTCATATTGGAATTTTAGTATATCGTACGTGGGCTTTTCATCAAAAGTCACGAGCGAGTAGCACACGAAAGGAGATGAGACTCGCGTGTTCTCTCGCGGCATACCTTGCTCACAACTCGAAATGGAGAGCTTACTCAAAGGCAAGATCTCACCTAGACTTAGAGCAGTCTCCCCTTTTCTTCAGATTTATTGAAAGATTGCACACGCACGGGAGCGTCGAGCGGCGAGAGCTGCGACACGCGAGAAACGAGGGCGTTGCGCCGTTATTTTCGTGTCTCGCGCGTTTCGCTCGAGAAAAGAGGGACTGCTCATAGTCTACATCTCACCTCTTTCGCGAAACTCTCTTGGAGACGCCATTCTCTTGGCTACAAGAAAGCCTATCATTATTTGATCCTGTGGTAATTCAGCATAAAAGTTCCCTGCTCATCACATCAACTTGAATAAGATTTCGCGGAATTTTAGAGAGCTGTGCTTTTACGCCAGTTTTAGATCCTGAGAAGACAGTTATGCTAATCCTGGAAAAATCTACGTATTATTTTGTACAAAATTCTGCAGGAGTATCCTGCCTCTTGCGATTTCCAACTCTGGCAAAAATGCTTTCCGGTTCTTTTCTAAAATAAATTCAATTTGCTACGAACAACTGAACTTGAAATATGAGTTTTGATGGTCCAGTTTTCAGTTTTCTGAGACCGCATCCATGTTTCTTCATGAGCTGATTTTAAACGGCGCGTTGGGATTGACCGTATCCCGGAAAGAGAATAAGAGGAATAAACTCTAGAAATCAATTGTTTTGGCTTTCATTGTATTGCGATATTAATAAAACTGTTTGAAATAAAAATATATTGTTGTTTATAAAGTTTAAATAGTCCAAAAATCACGGTAGAAGAGATTTGCCAGAAAACTTTTGCGTATTCTTTGTCCGGAATACGAAATACCCTTAATAATAAGTTCCCAAATTGACCAAAAAGACAATTTGCTAGGAAAATTCCGGAGATTTACGAAGTTGACACGAAGACTGGTCGACAACACAAGACTGTCTATGGCACTGATTAGACAAAAAAAATATTTGCATGAATAATTAGCACACGTGATGTTTTGAAAGTTCTCAAATAGAGTATTCTTTAGCTGTGTATTGGTACCTTCCAGCCTTTGTCGAATAAATAAGATGCTTGAAAGACTCCTGTGTTTCTAGAAGAGAATTCCCTTGCTGGAAAAATAACAAATGTTTCGAAACAGGATTAGTCTGAGCCTCGCAACATTCCACTACCGTATATCGAGCTGCTTCCCTTGCAAAGTTCTGAAGAAAACTCGACTGGAATTTACTAAAAAAAGGCAAGTAATTCAATACCTTTGTTATAGACCATCTTTGAAAACAAAATTTCTTTGCTGCGGCTATTTATTATTATTTTTAACGGCAGCTATATTATACATCCCTATATTTTAGAGTAAAACCCATTTCCGATATCCATCACTAAAATTGTTGCACAAAATGAACAAAAATTTGAGCATTTCGTCATTCATTGGTTTCGTTATGGGAATTATTTCGTTTCGACTGAAAACAGATCTTAAATATTAACGCAAGTATTTAGAATCGTAGCACTGAAATTTTTAAATACATATTTACCTCTTCATACACGAGAGTTTGTAGACAGCGAGGGGTACGCTTGGCTTTTTATTCAAAAGTACAAGAAAATTCGACTGGATCAGTGATATCTTCATTAAAACGGCAATAACAGGTTTTTTTTTATTTAGTTCTTATTTCTACTTCTACATAAAACATAAAGAGGAACACAATCTTCTTGCTCGATACACAGGCGTAAAAAAATTAACTCGCTGTCGAAATTTGTGTTACACATAACATCTGGAACGCGATAAAATGCACATACATGAGAAAATGAAAGAAAATGTGAAAAACGTTCAGATCGAAATATTCCTAAAGTGATCCACACAAAGCAATAAAACAGCTGCCTTTCTTTTGTTTCCAAACAGGAAAGCTGTAATAAATATCTACCAGACACCTGTACAAATTTCCTGCGGGTTTTATTTTTGCAAGCTTGTTTAATCCCTAGACTAATGACTGAGTAATAACGATAAGTAGACGAAACATACGATCGTCCTGGTGAGTATAGTCCTGATCAGGACTGCTGTTGACAGACGGTGTCTTACGTATCTTCAGAGTGAGAGTGGTATAACGTCAGTTGATGGTTATTAAAACTCTGATTATTGACCTGATTGGCCAATTAGGTCGCGATGTTATTGCTCGTCTGTCAGTAACTAACAAACGCAAAATGTGAATACATTAGAATTCACTGCGCATTTGCAACTACAGCAAAGCGGCGAGTGTGGGTATCCACCCTGGGCCCCCTTGGGATTTTTGGCTTGTGTTTGGCGAGGATGCGAACCGAGCCGCAAGCCTTCGCAAGCAGAGCGCTTATATGCAGTTTTACCGCTACGAAAGCCAGAAAAAATTAAACCTCTGGGATCCATGGTAAACAGCGTCAATTTTAAGAATGAAAGGAATGTAACAAAGCTAAACTAGTTGAAACTTTTTGGTAGACGAAATCATGACGTCGCCGTTCAAAAGGAAGCCTTCCCAGTACCATTGTACATGTTTTTATTTGTTTTTTACTTCAAGACACTAAATTTGACCTTTTTGTTGATTTTCAGTTTTATTGCTCTCGGAGGCAAAAAGGTTAAAATAGCTTACATGGTTCGTTTTTTCCTGTTTGTGGGCTTGAAAACCCGAGGATGATCCTGGCAGCTGTTTCTCTTGTTATCGGAGGCTTTGGTACCATTTTAAATTTTCTCGTCTGTTTTGTGTACTTCAAGAAGCCACAACTTTTGGATGCCCCCAATATTTTTATCCTAAACATCGCAATTGGAAATATGGCTTTATCTGCAATGCTGTGCCCCTTTCTCTTCCTCTCCAACGTTCGAGGCGAGTGGATATTCGGTCAAAACGGCTGTACTCTTTATGGATTTCTTGCAGCTTTTTTCTCGCTGAGCTCCATGGTGCATTTGGCTGGCGCGGCGTACGAACGCTACCTCACCTTCCGCGCACTTGCAATCGGTTCTGAAGATTCGTTCAGTCGAAAGAAAGCTATTACTGTATCTTTGGTTTTGTGGGGTTACTCACTTCTCTGGAGTTTACTTCCGGTTCTTGGCTGGTCGAGCTACGCACTGCAGGGGACTGGAACCAGCTGTGCTGTAAACTGGACGTCAAGAGAAGCCACAGATATGGCCTACGTCATGTGCTTACTTCTGGCATGCTTTGTGCTACCAGTATCTGTGATTGTGTACTGTTATTACAAATCTTACAAGGCAATACATCAGATGACAGACTACGCCGTGCAGAATTGGAGCGAAAACGATCAAGTTACTCAAGAGGCGCTTCAAGCAGAGCGCAGACTGGCGAAAGTGGCCTTCGCCATAACATTGGGGTTTCTCTTTGCTTGGACACCGTATGCCATCTTCTCGATGCTAGGGGTAGTTGATCCAAATCTGACTACTGGAACGGCAGTTTCGATTCCGGCCTACATTGCCAAGTCCTCCGCTTGTTACAATCCGTTTATTTATGCTTTTATGTACAAGAAATTACGAATAGCCCTTTTCGAATTATGCTGTTGTAGGATGCAGACGATACAAGTTCATCCAACAGTAGCGCCAGCAGCGCACCCGAATGGTTAAGGCTTTTGTGTAGCGAATTCGACAAGTAGCGGAACCGGTCGCTACGCCCTAGTTCGCAACGCGTTCGCTACATATTACTTTCTCTAAGCCATTGAAGATTTTTCTTTAATCCCACTAGAAACACATTCTTTCTTGTTCTCTTAAACTTGCCCCTCGGAAGATGCAGGTTTTCGACTTTGCCAGTAAGCTTTAGACATGAGATAGCCAGTTGACAATTTAAACCTGTTTTAAACCTCAAAGGTCACGCTCAAAGACGAAAAACGCCTTTTAAAGCTATTTCGGCGAGGGCTTTTTTTTGGTCACTCTCGGGCCAAAACGAACCCCGACTGCCCAAAATGCTGTTTAAAAATCGAGCACATCGCGGATTCTTTCCCTGAAGCTACATATCACCTTACGATGTTTGGACTAAGCAGAAAGTCATGTTTTTTTTTTGAGGGGGGGCGGGGGAAGGGCGAGGAGGAAAGTTGACACTGATTTTTACCGTTAAATTTCTCGGATCATTATACGTTTCTGGGAAGCTACCCACCTACCCCTCCCCTAAGCCAACATCAACACTTACTTCTCACTAAGGGCAAAATGTTAGCTTAGGGGAGGAGTAGGTGGTCAGTTCCCCAGAAACGTATAATCGTCAACTCTACTTTCCCTTTTAGTAGATGTCAAAGTAGCCTCCCCCGCCCCCCTGTGTAGCAAGCATTACCGGTAGGTGGAGGGGAAGGAGAAAAAAAGGAAACGATACCTCAAGAGTGTCCAACATCAATTTTCTCCTAGCAATATCCATACATAAGCAAGAGAAACGGTTCTGAGAAATAATAAAATGATCACCCAGGGGAAAAATGCTGTGATCTTAAAACAAATAATCTCAACTAATTCTTCAAGGAAATGTAAGCAGATAAGCTTGGAGAATTTGTAAGTAGATATTGGGGCCTAAAGGGTTAATGGCAAATGGGGCCTATGAGTTGCCATGGCAACTAACCATGGAGTTGGGCTGTCTTGCACTAATTGTCATATGGATAACTCAGACTAGAGACCAATACATGTTTTGCAACCTATTATATTGTTCACGTGAAATAGGAAACATGCTACAGAGTCTAGTTTAGGCAAACTCACCCCTTGATATGTGTAAAAAATCCTTCAATTTTATGCTGTGAAAGATTGTTTTTATCTCCTCCTGTGGTGGTAAGAATAAACATCATTCAATCTACATGCTAAGCAGTCAAAGAAAAGTCTTCTATCATTCTTGACTGGATTGGCAATTATGGGGTTGCATTTTTATAAGAGTTACTAGAATTGGGTCGCCCATTTTCAACATTTTGGGGGTTAGAAAATTCAGGTATGAAGGGATTTAAAAATAGAAAGATTTACACCACGTTAAGTTTAACAAAAATGTGGCAGTTCATGTCAGGATGTTCTAGTTAAAAGGTTTTGTAAGGTGGATGCATGTTAACAAAAAATGACTAAGTTGGGATTGCAAAACTTATTTTTTTCCCAAAGTGACTAAGATGAGGCCTATAATATGATCACAGAATAGACTATAATGTGGCCGGTAGGGGTTCTTAGAGGCCAGCAGCACGTACCCAGGAAAAATCTTGGGGGGGGGGGGGGGGCC